AAATCTACAAATGCATACTTGATGCCTAAACATGAAATATATGTGTAATAATTACATAATATTAACAAAGTACTATAGTTATAAAGATTAAAGAATGAAAAAACGTACTTGTTTATCAAAAAGACCGTTTTTTGTTCCATTTTTTCAACTTTCAAGTCTCTAATATAAAAGTGCTCAACAATAAAAAAACATTGATTAGTAACATCATCATTTTATTAACTACTAGAAATTTGACCTAAAAAGTAAAATATCCAAGTATAAATAAATGACTAAATGAGCAAAGCAAGATAATATCATATGATATATAATAACTCAATTATATGTTTGAATTTTGAAAATAACTCAACCCAACCTAATTTGTTTTTATTATGCGTGATTGCTCAACGCAACAATCAGCTCATCCCACTAAAAATACTCAAGTTATTATGAATGTTTATCTTCATCATAACCTTATACAGATTTTAGATTTCACAGAAGGATAAAACACATATTTTTCTTTTTAAACTAGACACATCTCACTCCAGCAAAAATTTTGAAAAGAAAAAAGTTAAAAAGAAAAAAATTAAACAGAAAAGAAGACCCGTCCTGCTCCTGCTAAATTTTAATCATCATAAGATATTATCTAGTCCAGTACAATCTCTCCATGTACGTTCCCCGTTCCCATCTCCACATAAAACTTTTCACACAGGCTCAATCATCACCGTCCATTCTATCCATGGGTATATCCGACGGTTAATATTTCAACAATAATCTCAGTGCTTCCTCACCGCTGCCTTTTTCCCAAAATTCAGCCCCGATTCCTCCTTTCAGAAATGTTCGTCCTACCCAAACTCAGTCATTTATTTTTTTCCGCTTCCCAACAGAGACGATGCCGACGAAGCTCCTGTTGGCTTGACCGGAGACTGGAGAGACAGTGAACGAGAGATGACTTGACCGGAGGAAGTGAGAGAGAGAAAGGTGAGTCGTCGTTGTTGGTGCGGGATCGGCGCTGGAAGTCATCGCCGGCGACGATGTTGACGGCGTTGGAAATCGTCGAGAGAGGCAGAGCTGTCGGGAGTCGGGAGAGACCACAGAGGCGGCTAGGGCAAAGGTGAGAGGGTTTTATTATAATGGGTGCGGGTTGGGTTCGGGTCGGGTTTGAGGAGACGTTTATTAAAACCCGTAGCGGAATTTACCGCTTTTTCCCCGCTTTTCAGCGCTACAGCGCGCAATTAGCCACGATTCGAGCAAATAGCGGTTTTTCTCCGCCTAACCCACCCGCAAACCCCTTAAGCAGGGCGGCAAAGGCCCGCGACCGCTAATGGCGGCGCTATAGCGCCGCTATCCACCGCTTTTTACAACATTGTTTAGCATTGGTGTTTTCCTTTGTCCAGTTCTGCGTTACACAGTGTCCACCTCGGACATTTCACTTTCCTTTGTTTCTTTGTGTGGGTTTGGTTCACAAAGGATCTAGGGTTTGCAGTGGCGGAAAACACCTCCACCTCAGCCAAATCACTCGTCACGATTTCCTCTAAAAATGAGCGGAAAACCCACGAAAACCCTCGTGTTCTTTTTTCAGATCTACAATATTTTCGGGAAATCTCTTGGTTGACTAGGGTTACCGCCGAGTCCCGCTATTTCTTCTCTCTTCGCACGTCGGATCTACGAAAGCTGTAGCTTGATGTTGTCCGATTTGTGCCGATTGCTTCAGATTTTGGGGAAATCACTGTGTTTCCTCAGATCTCTATTGATTTATTAGGATTTTTGTTGGATCTCGTAAAAAGGCAACGCCTTTCTTAGGGGATTTCGTCGGATTATTGCTTGATTTGTTGAAATTCGGTAATTACAGGTATAATTTCACCATTTTTTAAAATTTTTGTGATTATTTGGACTGTTTGGTTTGTTAAAAATGAGTAAATTGACAATTTTCACACCAGCTTGTAAAATTGGTATAACATGATTTGGTGAAAGTCGGCAATTTTTGGTATGATTCAGCCAAAGATTGAATTTGCATTTTGCTTTATTACTTCGACTGCCTCAAAATCTCACCAATTTGTAAAACTTGAGACAAATGGGTGATCAAGTCTAAATCCTCACATAATTAGTTCTCTAACTGTTTCTATACATGATTAAAAATGTGATTAAACCCCTGATGCATATCTTCGGTTAGTCAAAAAGAGATGATCAATGCCTTCCTCAACAATGAGGGTTGAAGAACAATATGAATATGAGTTCATGTGGTATTTTGTGATTCTCACTTCTAATATACTTGTTAAATCCACTTACTTTTGGTGCAAGACAAGTCTTGCTTAATTTAGGAAAGTTTCATTTGATTTTGTATCATATGTTGATGTTATTTTATGTGTATTTGAAACATTATGATGATGGAGCATATTATTGTAATAGGTAGTAATTATTTGTATGACTTTGATTTTAGTTGTGCTTCAACTATAAACATATGGTTTCATGTGCATATTTACCAATTTTATGTGAATATTGCAGAATACTAATTTTACATTGAACTTGTGTTTACGAGAACTTTATAAGTCACCATATACATGACAACTAAAAAAATTGTATGTAAGCAACCTACAATGTATCTACATTGTATTGGATAGCTACTACTGTGAGTTAATAATAAAAATATTGTCATGTCATGAGTTTTAGTTGGTGACTTTTTACATTTAGGCTATGATGATTGTCAAATATTCTAAGATTAGCAACCTTCAATGTTTATTGATATTACACTAGATGGCTAAATGATGATATTGGCTAAGTTCTGCGCCCTCAGCCATATAAATCATAAACATGTGGCTGGTATATTTTACGTGATATCAACAAATATTTTCACATGATTTTTTTAGTCATGAAGTTCATTCAAATTAAAACATGCATAAAATAGCATAGTAGTACATGATAATAGCAAAGTAGTACATATCATTGCTTTCATTTTAGCTATTATAAATAGGTTTCAAGTCCACGATGCTCTCCAATACAATTCTTACTCAGATTGGCAATAGTTTTATTGTAACCAACATCATGTGTATGTGTTAGGAGTTGATTTTTGTTCTAGTACATGTTGGGTATATCTTTGCAATAAGGACACTTCCAATTTCCGTTTTAATCTATAACTTTTACAGCATTAGCTCTTAACATAATTTCAGCTAATTTCATGATATCTCACATCTCATTTTGCTCTCGATCTGCATCCGTATAGGCAATCCATTCTTCAAAGGTTTGCTTAGGCTTAGTAATCCTTCCACGCTGATAAAAAATATAGTAAATTAACATTTTAAAATAAACAACTCTATTTTTATCATAAAAAATTTAAATATTCTTACCTTTGATGATAGTGCAGATGAAGATTCACTAATATCTTTACTTTTCTTATTCATATTTTTTCCTGGTTAACATTTTGTATGCAAACATTGCGTTTTATAAATGCATATAGCTTGGTACGTTTACTTGGTGGTTGGATGTTGAATCTGACAATATTAATTTGTATCAGTAAATTTTCTGTTGGTTTTGCCCATGATTTTGTAGCGCTCATGGTTTTGAAACCTAACTGGTTTTGTTTCTTATAGTATAGTCCCAATTATCTACATGTACGGTATTTTCAGGTTTGATGTGATTTTCCATGTAAACACAAGTTCTAATTATCTAAATATTTATGACTACTTGTTTATAAATTTTTACAGGTCTCATAAGAAATTTTTGCTAATCCAGGTGCGTATTTCATAAATTTATGAATAATCATGTTATTACAGGTTTCGTGTGATTTTTCATGTCAAGCAGGTTTCGTGTGATTTTTTCATGTCAAAGAAGTATTTTTCATGCCAAATCAGGTACGTAGTTCATAACAATTAAGATAATCATGTTATTACATGTTTCGTCTGATTTTTATGTCAATCATATATTTATGATGAATTCGGCTATTTATTGGTTTTTCATGTTATATTTGCACTTCAAATTTTGGTAAGATTACCTCCAACAATGATCACAAACAAATTGGTCTTTACTGAGTGGTAAAATTACCATGGCTACACACTTTAATACCAAACAAACACAAGAAAAATGGGAAATGTCTAATCACTAAAAGTTTCCCCCTTTTTTTGATGCCAACCAAACATAAGAAAAATGTATATATTGATTTCCCATCATGTTTTATGTGTGAAACAAACCCAATCAATCTATTTCCTGGAAAAGTTTGGAAAACCCAAAACTTGGGTTTCTTTACATAGGATTGTATTTCCCAATACATGGGAAACGAACCAAACAGCCCCTTAGAACATTTCCTGATTCGGTTACATTGGAAGATGACAAGAAGTAAAGTACACTACTTTACCTGCATCTCTTTCATTGCATAAAATAATATGCTAGGATAGACAAATGATTGTAATTCATTCCCTTCATTCACTTGATTTCATTCTCTTCATAAAGTCTCTATCTCAGTAAGATGAACACTTCAGCTCAGAACACTTGAGTTCTTCTAAGATTGAAACATCTTCGTGGTAGTAGCAATGTCTTACATAATCAGAAAATTTAAAGAATCTCCACAATCAAGATTGAAAAAACACTAAATCGGGTTTTGAACAATAGATGCTCGTAAAATTGAAATCTAACAGTCAATTAATAAAAAGAAAGTAAGTCAACTAACATGCAGTTCAAGTTTTCAACATTATCTAAATAGATGAAAGGCATCAACATTCAACAATCTAACGGTTTTCAACATTATCTAAATAGATAAAAGCTTATCATAAATGTAAAGTTGTTAGAATATAAAAATAATAATCCTCAACTCTCACTATAACATCGGAGTTTTGGGGAATGGTTAGGGACTTTAAGATGGTATCAGAGGAAGCCAACCCAGGTTCAAATTCCATTAGCCACGAATTTAATGCAGATTTTTTAAAAATTGACAATTGGCCCTCAACTCAAACTATAATTTCAGAGTTTCGGTGTAACGGTTAGGTACTCTAAGAAAAAAATTCAAGCTAAGAAAATACAACTTTGATTAATACCTGAATGAATCCGCAAGATATACCCCAAAAAAATTGCTATCGTTTCTTTTCAAAGGCATTTAATCCGGTGCTCATCCACCAGCTCCCACAATCTGTAAAAAAGACCAACTTTGTGAGCCGCAAACGGACTCTAGAAAATCCCTAAAATTTTAGGGTTTTGGTGGATTACCCTGAAGAAACTGACCATGTGAGAGTCGATTAGGGCTTTGTAAGTTGATATGATCTCCAATGGCTTTCAATTCATCCATTCTAGGGTGTCAGCGACATATCGAAAGAAAAAAAATTTCGAAGAAAAGTTTTTTCTTTTTTTTTTTCTTTTTTGCCCCGAGGTGAGATTGTTCCCGGGTTAAAAAGTATTGAGCTAAATTTTGGGAATTTCGCCTTGGCCCAAAATATACCAGCGATTTTCTAACAACCCCTTGACTACAGAGAGTGAGTGCGTCTATTATCCTAGAGTTCACGTTACTATCGAGTAAAATTCAACTTGTATTGGTACTTCGGTGCATGCAATGCGTGCACCATGTTGGGGTGCCGAGGACCAACACACAATCGTCGAGAGAGAAAGTTAACCATAATTCAAAAAAAAAAAAAAAGCGCGAACACAAACAAATAAATTTTACGTGGTTCGGTAAGTTGCATACGTCTACGGGGCAAGAAGAGGATGAGTTTTCACTAATAGAGAAGGGATAGTTCAAATAGAGATTACAAAATCAAACAAATCTCTCAAACAAATATATGTACAAAACCCTAAACCAATAGCTCAGAAAAAACTCTCTTTTCTGTTCTCAAAACAACCCTTTCTACTGCTCCAAAAAAACCCTAAAACGTGTTTGTATTTATACCAAACATTAATCCCAAACAGAACAGGAAAACCAAAATTGGGCCTGACCCGACTGGCGGTCGACTGTAGAAATCGTCGCGGTCTACCGACTAGAAAGACAGAAACACAATATCGATTACAGGGTTTGGCGGTCGACCGCCAAAATCATCGCGGTCGACTGTCACCAAGTTCAGAAAACTCCCTGAGGCTGTGCATATTTCCGTCGACCACCCCAAAGCTCGCGGTCGACCAAAAGCACCCAAAGCTCTGCCTGCTCCAAAAATCTTGTTCTTCTCCAATGTTTTCATCATTTCTACAATTCTCCACATCGGCGAAGTTTTCCCAAAACTAAGTTGACACCAATATCAACCAAACGTCTCACTTGTTGCGTCCAGTACGAAGTGGAAACAATCCACGATAACGGGCTCAATCTACAACAAGTCAAGAACCCAAACGAGAATGAGAACAAGCTCCAAATATCAGTATCAACTCATCAAACTGGCTGCATCAAAATGACTGCCTACGTATCCTCTTGCCCAAGGAATCAAGTCTCACATAGTTCACCAAATGGCCTCTAAAGGCCCTCAATCAACCAAAGGCCCTCAATCAACCAGAAGGATTCTTAATCCTTCACGATCATCACTAACAAATCTGCAGCTGATAACTCTCCTACTGACCTCAAAGTGAAACGAACCAAACACCTCCACTTGAGGTGAACCAACGGCCATAGCCAAATCCGAACTATGTCCGTTAACTGCACTCGAATCAACAAACTCGTCAACACCAACATGATCCCTAATTTGTATCACCTCAGCTGGAATCCTAAACAATACAAAATGATCTGGAGTACGTGGAGTAATCTCCACCCAACGTGGAGTAGCATCACTCTACATCCGCTGTGATACGCCTATGATCTGTCCAACACTCTCCACCTGCTGAGAGTTAAATGTGACACTACTGCTCAGAACAATATCAGAGCCCCATACCTGGTACTCAAACACTCATCTGAATCCCAAATGTGCACTTGGATTAAACTTTACATTCTCGATGTGATAATATGTTGGACATCCAAATATCTGAAGCAACCCAAAATCTGAAGTAGCTTCACCAGATCCAAATACTCCAATCATGACAGACGACAACCTATAAATAAGATGACTCAAATATGTTAAAGCCTCATCACCAAGACTCATCTGGAATCCACTGCTTGACATCAAACACCGATCCTCCTCCAGCAAGGAACAGTTCATCAAATCTGTCACCTCATCTCGTTGCCCTAATATTTCCTTTCCAATGAAGTGTCTCAAACTACCTTGAGCTAGGCATAAATGCAGAAAAGGATCCCTCTTGTACTTTCTATCAAAATCAGAACTAAGCAAATTCACCTTTCTGCCTATACACTTATTCCACATGTTGTTGACTACTAAGACTTCACTCAAACGAGACTTGGTTGCAACCCACAAATGTCTAGAACAGTCTTCAACACAGGAAACCAAATACTTGTTACCTCCCACTAATGCCTCCTTGGAAGGCCTCCAAATGTCTACGTGAACATCATCTAGAATGCCCTTCGCTCGGTGAATAGAAGTGTCAAACTTCACCTTGATCTTCTTGCTCACACAAATATGTTCACATGACTTTAAATTGCAGGTCAAAGCATCTCTCACCAATCCATGCATGGAATCAACACTCGAATATTCCAGCCTCAAACGCCACAGTCTAACCAAATCAATAAAAGTCATCAACTCTCCACCTGTCACCGTGCTTCCAATCAAATAATACAAGTGAATAGAAGTGTCAAACTTCACCTTGATCTTCTTGCTCACACCAATATGTTCACAGGACTTTAAATTGTAGGTCAAAGCATCTCTCACCAATCCATGCATGGAATCAACACTCGAATATTCCAACCTCAAACGCCACAGTCTAACCAAAACAATAAAAGTTGTCAACTCTCCACCTGTCACCGTGCTTCCAATCAAATAATACAAATTATTCTTCCTGACACCCATCATCATAATCATGGACCCCAATATGACCTTTAAAGATGCATCCTCTAAGATCACCCTATAGCCTGCTACCTCTAAAACTCCAAGTAAAATAATATTTTTCGACAACTACGGAACGAACCTCACTTTTTTCAATTCCCAAATCACCATGTCACATGTTCTGATTGAACTGTTCAAATGCCACCAATAGGGTATTCATGATCATTACCTATGAGCACGATATCCCTTCTTTCTAACTCCTCAAAGCTGAAGAACCAATCCCTCCTAGGGCAAATGTGTATGAAGCACCCAAATCTAACATCCACTCCGTAGAGTTGGTAACACAAACTGACGGTAGTGCAGGGCACGAGTAGCACGAAGAATCCGAACTTGAATTGTCTCCACTAGCCTTGTCAACATTCACCTCTGAAGCTTGTATAGTTTTCCCCTTTTTCTTCCTGACTCGATCTTTCAACTTTGGACATTCAGACTTCCAATGTCCATCTTCTTTACAAAGAGCACAATGATTCCTACCAATCGCAGGATGTGCTCCTCTAGACTACTACGACCTCCTACTTCGATTTGGACTCTTTCCACTTGCTATCAATGCCCCCGCTACTGTATCAATTGAAGTCTCTTTATCTTTCTTCCTAAGCTGATAATTCACAAGAGCAGCGGTGACCTCACTATATGAAAGAGATGTTTTCCTATTAATAAGAGTAAAAACGAAGGTCTCATATTCCTCGTCAGGTAAGAAACTCAACAACAATAACGTCTTGTCCTCATCTTTAATCATAACATCCACATTCGCCAAATCCGTAAGAAGCTTCGTGTAGTGGTTTATGTGATCACTAATCAAGATTCCCTTCTTCAATTGGAAGTGGTAAAGCCTCATCTTCAAATACAAATGATTCTCCACACTCTTTGTCAAATACTTACTCTCAAGAATCTCTCAGATCTTCTTTGCTGAAGTCTCATTGATCACATCATACTTTAGATCTTAAGTTAAACAAGACCTAATCACACCACACGTCGTTCTATTCATCATCTTCTAAATTTTTTCTTCAATGTCATCCGGTTTGCCGTCCAACTCCAACATGTTTTTCAAATTTTGTGTGTTCAGCGCATTCAAAACTTTACATGATACGAGTCGCCGAGCGAGCACCTTTGATCACGGAATTATCAAAGATGTGTTGAGAAGAAGATGGCAGAAATACAAGAATAATTCAGTATGTGGCGAAGGAAAATACCATCTCCAGATTATGATATGAAAAGATTACAACCCCTCTCTCACAATCTTACTAGAATCGAGAACAAACTCTTAATTCTCTCTAAACCCTAATCTGTCTTGATTAGAATCACTCTTTGATTACATCTGATTCATTAGAAACCCTAAACAATCCCTTATATAGGTGTAACAACGTGGATGGAAAATTGGTAAATAACCAAGTCCAAACCCTACAAGAATTCGTGCAAACAAAAACCCAAACGAACCAGAAAACCATCGATGAGTCAACTCATGTGCATATATAAGTCGACTCATGACACATGGGTCGAATCATGACAGTCATGAGTCAACTGGTCAGAAACTTCTGATAAAACGATTGGGTTTCGTGAGTCGACTCATGACAGACATGAGTCGACTCAACCTGATGAGTCGACTCATGTACATGTATGAGTCGACTCACTAGATGAAAATTGTATGCTTCGATTCTTCGATTCTCCATCTCGTTCCATGCTTTAACCTACGTTCCACTGTGTTGTTTTACACCTCTATTCTCAAGTTACTATAAGAATCATTTATCCTCAAGCTCTCATGAGGATCGCTAAGTTCCAAAGAGAAGATACACCCGTATCATGGGTCCCCCCCTTTAGGAACTTGAAGTCTCATTCAAGTTAGAAATTCTGTTGAGGAAACTCGTGAGCTCCTCCATCCTTTCTGTACCACCTGGCTTTGCTAGGAACCTGATATCGACGTACAACTGAAAACGACTCCTTCGTTCCTCGCCTCATCGTAGTTGTCTTCCGTTCTAACATGCAACTCCTTTTTGATGGCTCGTCATGAAGTCTAATGCACAACGAGACAAACTTCTTGCTTGCATTCACTAGCCTCTTTGCTCGTGTCACCGTCGTCAAGTTTGCCTCCCTCGAAAGAGACGCCGAACGAAATATGAACTTTTTACCATCCTTAGTGAATGTGTACTTCTGAGTCTGCCTTTCGTAGATCGTGTATCTATCCCACAAGTATGGATTAACAAACATCCAATGGAACGACGTCGCACGTGACCTCGTGTTTGTTGGAAATTTGATGTAAAAAGACAATGAAAGAAAAATTCGAACTTGTATTTCTCTCAAAC